GATCGAGATGACCGATTGTTATTTGCAGCTCTGCCTTATTGCTACTAGAGCTACTTTTTTGTACGAAATTGCTTGGTATAAGGGGTGAAAGCGAGGCGACGGAGTTAAAAGCAAAAGTCGGACTAAGAGTAGGCTAAAGTATATATTTTGAAGAGAGTAATAACAGACTGCTGAAAGTCTACTAATTCGAGTTACTGACTTGTAGACATATTTTGTTTCAGACCACTGGATCAGAATGAATACTGCTCCACTGTGTTTTGGTGCGATAAATGACCAGTTTGGCAGGTTCTTCTCTCCAAATAGTGGCAAACTGGCATCAGTGAAACTGGTGCACCTGTATGGTTATGTTACATGCGATACAAAAATATCCCAGTATTCGTCTTATTGGGGTTGCGGTCAATACTTTTCTTCTAGTATTAACATTGTAATAACAGACTCGAACAATAGCGTTCTTTTTCCGTCAAGGGAGTTCATTGTTGGTAAGCATGGTATGTGGTCTTGGATTCCTGGTTATGATTCGCTTTCCCCAGAATTGGTGCTGCTTGCTCTCTCCAACCCTCCATTCGTAACTAAAGGACAAGAGCTACGTGTATGGTACGGCGAAGATTTAACGAAACACTTTGTAGCCGACAATGGAGGAAAATCGTGCTGCGATATATATGCTCGTTTCATGTGAATATCGGTGATCAAATACCTGTTCATTACGCATACAAATAAGTAGTGAATTAGCCTTTAAAACTGGACATTTTTGAGTAAGACGGTGTTTTCGGACTACAATCGGCGACAAAATGAGTTGGACCTTTTTATGTTTTACTGACTTCAAAAGGGAGAAATATAGCTTTTTCTCCCTATCCCTCCGTGCAATGTTGTGCCGCTGGGGGACTACTCGTAGTCTACCCCATTTTGTCGCCGATTGTAGGTATAAATTTGTTCCTAGGTAATTAAAGACAAGATCACGGCAGTAAAAATCCTTCTTTTTCAGTGTCAGTGCTGTGTATTCTCTCGGACATGGCAGTTTCGCACAAGAGGAATCCATTTAATATTATAATGTCAAATATAAAATTAAAATTGCCCTCAAGAAGACAAGTGGTATGGCGTGATTCTGTGGGTGTTTGGAGTTCTCGGGGTCAGAGCTTAAAATTAGAGTGCGCGGATATTTTTCATCAGAGTTTTCTCTGATTGTTGCGCCACACTGACGAGCCCCAGTAAGGGCGAAACAGCTGTCTGTGGCTACAATCCCGCTCTGTTTTGAGTTCTTTCGGTGTCGTGTTGATGTCTTGCAGAGTTAATTTTCACGCAGTACGATCAGCATTGCAGTATTCTGCTAGCAGAATTTAATAAATCCGCGCATAGGGGGCATTTTTCGAGCTGCAAGAATTTTTTTTCGTTATCAAATTCCTTGTACTATATATTCCTTGTGTTATTATTGTATTCCTTATTATTATTATTATTATTATTATTATTATTATTATTATTATTATTATTATTATTATTATTATTATTATTATTATTATTATTATCATTATCATTAAGAACGAGAGGCGTTGCGTTTGAACTGGTCCCTCTCCTCGCAGAGGCAACTTTATTGAGGAAGGGAAGAAAGCGCGCGGGGGACAATTTCCCGCCTATTTTCTCCTCCCATATCAAACCCGTGCCCTGTTTAGGGGCCGACCATTTAACTCATGAGGGGTGGGGTGGGTGATTTTGAAAAAAAATTTCCTGCAAGCGCTTGTCGGAAGAAAGCAATTGCATGCAGCACAAATGTAATAGAAAGCTTATGGGAAAAAAGGGAAAAAAATATCCTGCCCACCAGATTGCTAGAAAAAAAAAAAAAAAAAAGATCCTTGATGACCAGAAATCCCCCCTCAAGGGTTGAATGGTCGGCCCCTTATTTTATTCTTGAAATACTAGAAGGGGCCTCTACGGGAAACAGAGGCCTAAAGGGACGGCCCATTAGAAAACTTATGGGAGGGCGGGGGGCGAAGTACAAAAAAAATATTAGTGCAAGAGAAAATTAAATGAAAAAAAAATTCAGGCACGCCAATTAACCCTAAAAAATAGTCATGCTATGGCCTAAAAAAAATTCAAACAAGGAATTTGATGACGAAAAAAAAATACTTCCAGCTCGAAAATTCCCCACCCCCAATCCATAACTTTTCTAATGGTCCCTAAATGAACCCTAAATGCCCTTCACCGGGGTCTTTGTCTGATTGTAATGAAATTCTGTAACGAATCACGTACCACAAACTCAATTTTCTGTCGTCCGAGCATGTTAGCATGGTTGAAATGAACTGACGGATCGTCAGAAATGTGGTTTTTAATTTCTCTGATCACAATTATCGCTGGGCGTAAATTGTCTGCAGTGTAGGAAAAAACTTTACCTTTTTTAGCTTGCGTGCTGTTTCTCATTGTATGCAAATTTTCTTGCCATATGTCATCGTTTGTTTCTTTAAGTTAGTTAATTATTCTACATTTAGTCTAAATCACACTGCTGATTCAACGGTTTATTACTTCTGAAGATGAATGTTGGAACATGTGAAACATCAAGTTGAAGTCTTTTTTAGTTCTTTCCAGAAAGACGTTTAAATTTCCTTATGTTTAGAGCCGCAGTTTGCTTTGTTTCTTCTTAAGCTAAGATGGCCAAAAAACAAGAAAATATTGCCAAACAGCGAAATTGAGGATCGCGTCCGCTTTGGATGCAGTAATCTCATACTTTTAGCCCGCCTTCGGACACTTACGAGTACGATCGGCTCCTGCACGCAGAAAGCTATGATTGATAACTGTTAGAGGTTACAGTCGTCGATCGAACTTTGTATTAATAATCCAACTCGTGATCATAATCACGGGTCGAGGTGGAAATGAATCCGAATTGAGCCAAGGGAGTGGCGCGCGAGCCAGGGGAGGGGGAGGGGGGGTACTTGGGTAAATGTTTGCTGGGTATGTGCCGGTGGCCTCTCAGGGGCCCCTACCCCATTATAGTCTATTTTTTGGCCAATTATAGACCCCAAATAGTCACTTTTTGGCAAATGTAATTTTTGCGATCCCAACTTAGTCACTTTCTATTTATGCATCTACCTTGTCAATAGTGGTTTCAAGCGACGGAATGCAATGCGGTTAGTGCGAGCTTATTGTTAAATTTAATAAACAACAAGTTTCTGTTTTTTTTCACCGAGAATTTTCCGATTTTGAATCCCTACTTACCCCAAAAATCCGAAAATTTGCGACCCCATTCTAGCCAATCCAGTTGTGAAAATGCAGCCCCATCCAGCGGCACATCCCCATTAGCCTTTTGTAAGGGAGTACCCCCAACTCGCGGGCGCGCGAGAATTAACAAACCTTGTCACATTTGTTTGACCCATGTTTGACTTACGCAAAAAGTGAAGTTGCATGCCACACGGCTCCTCAGCTCTCTTTCGGCTAGAACTGACGCAGGTAGCCAGTAAGGAAGTTCGTTTTTGTGACGGTGTGATAAATACTAGGTCAGGTTAGCTACTACCTTATGGACCGGATCGATAAGTGCCGAGAGCGTGCGTGACCACAAACCAATCTCGCTCCAGTTGTTGAAAAGGTAGTGTGCGGGGAACAGACGCTTTTTTCGGAGGGAAAGAGGCGGCGACCGGAAATACGTCTGCGGCTCGCAGGCTATTCAAAAGGTGGATAGCGCTATCCACTGGATGAATTTCGATCCACTCGATAACGCAGTTGGAAAGCATAACACTTATCCGCTGGATAACGATTTATCCGGTGAATAGCGCTCTCCAACGTTTGAACAACCGGGGCCTGAAGGACAGGAATTGGAAAGGACGCTTTTTTTCCCCGTATGAACTGAACTACATTGGAACCTCGATTTAACGAACCTCTATTTAACAAAAGGGAACTTAAGAACCACGACGACGACCGGAAGTGAGTTTCAGTGTACTGCGCAAGCGCGACCAGTAAATTTCGTCGTCGTGGTGTCGTCGACGACGCCAAACAAAGTACAATCACGTCGTCCTGCAATCCACAAGCTTCGGCAGGTATAAATCCGCTGTTTTAAGCGATTTTTTATGTCCTTTGTTTTTTCTTATCCTCGCAAATCCAGGTATCGTTCCTTTTTTCTCTTAACAAGCGATATTGATTGAAAATTCGACTAAAAGTGTACTGTGAAAGCCGAGCGAGCGAACTCGCAAGTAAGAAATTTACTTGCACCTATTTAGGTAAGGCAAATCATAATATAGGGGAAATAAACTTTATATGGAAAACAGCTATGACATGTATCAGAATGTCTCTTTTCCCAAATCTAAACTCTGACAGACACTCGGACTCGGTCATCTCATTCAGGTTGAAAGTTGAATAATCTTTGTGCAGAAGGAAGGCGTTTTTCCACTCGAAAAGGTCAGACAACATAAAAAATTCTTCATCGTCAAAGGAATTAGACGTTGTTTTAAAAGACGCCATTCCACAAAACTTTGTTACGAAGGAACGTCACAGTTTTACGTTTGTGTTTACATTCAGTGTCGTCGTCGTCGACCTACCGACCGACTGCATCTTCAGTTTCCTTTTTGCCGCCGAAACTGACGTTCTCGTTCCAGTCTTTTCCCAGTCAACAGACGTGGTCGTCGTGAACTTCGTCGTGGTTCTTGAGTTCCCTGTTGTACAACATGCAACAACCATAGTACGCTTGGTCTGCCTGTCAGATCAGCTGGCCTGTTTTTGTTTTTTGTTTTTTTTTTCCTCCCGCGTGAGAGTTTTGGCTGTGAAGCTGCAAGGGAATTTCAAAACCTCTCCTTCCCTTCCCCAAGCCGAGCGGCTTTGCAGCTCCTCTGCCAAAACTTTCTGCGCGCTTATGATCCCGCTGACTACTATTACTGACTGTTACGACGGTTTTTTGTTATGCTTCTACTTTTACTTCACCGCTTCAAATTTTTTTAAGATTGCTTTCTCGATAATCATTACTAGTTAACTGTTTATAATCGTTTGGTCTGACACTGTCTGATTATTGGGGAAGCTCCTTCTTCATATTAATCACCACTAGCTTCAGGGGGAACGTTGTAATACGGATGACCTTCATTATGTTTGTTTAGATCCAAGTATGGTGCATCCCTCTGCATTATCACCACCAGTCTTTCGATCAGCTGAAAGAAACTGGGACGAGAGCGAAGTTCCTCCTTCCAACAGTCAGTCATCAGCTCATATCTGTCATGAATAAAAAGAATGCAACAGTTTAAGTTAGTCAGAGTTCCAATCCATTATTACATACATAGAAACCGTTTCTATTTGACGTAAGACACCCCGATTTAGTAGAATAGTTTTTCCTTTAAACCAGCTGGCAGCCACTCACGCCGGATCATTAGGCTTGTCGGTTTCTTGCCTAGCTTGCGAGAAAGCTCTCCACTTAGGGCGATCTCGTGAGAAGTACACACGCGAGCGGCACGCGAGAGAAAATACGACAGCAATGGGACCCTCGTGTGGCGGATGGTTTTGGAATGGTTTGCTGGAAATGTTGTTTAAAGTTTTTAAAGACTTAGCCAACATCGCCAAATTTTGCTAATAAAGCTGTTACCAGGTAAGAGAAAAATACCTAGTTTTAATCAATTAAGAAATATCAAACATGGACAAAAAAATCCTTGCAGTCGATCTCTGTTAAAGTGTTAACACTATCATATTGCTGTATGAAACAAATATTTTGCTAAGATTTTGCCGTCCGTCTGTTTAGTAATCAATTTGATCGAAAAAAACGTCAAAATCGCCAACCGAGTTGTCTTCTACAACGTTTATCGCTATTTATAGCTAAAAAGACGCACGGAAAAATCGAATCATTTTGTTAGTTCTAAGACGATTCTGATCAAGAAACGTACACATCATCGGAGCACATGTCAGGCCTTTCCATGCGATAACCAGTGCCAAGCAGTCGATACAACTCTGAGTTGGCCAGCGTGGGGTATGGTACGCCTCCTGATCACTTTGTGCGAAAGAAAAAATATACATGATGTTATTTTGAAAACAGGGCTCACTCCCCTGGACAGCTTTCTACTGGAAATGTCAACGCCGACGACTCTTCATTCCTCCGCACTCAATAATACAGTTTTGCAAAAGAATAGTGATTGAATAGGGGTCAGAGTTGCATTTAAGTGTAAGAAAGAACGAAAGAAAGAAAGAAAGCAGGGTGCTTAGTAATAAGGCTCCTCTTTCTGGGAAACAACTAGTGCGTGCATATTTGATGCCGATTATCACTTATGATTTCAGACAAGAGCTTCGTTCAAAACAAAAAAGCCTGCTGGCTTGGCACATATAAAACTCATCAGGTATCAGCCTATTAAGAGTCCCAGTGTCGTCCTCTCATATCAGTTGCACTTCAAGTCATATCCCCCGTGGTAACAGTGAGGAGAGTTCTTGGGATGTCACTCCCCTTGGAAGGTAACATAATCAGTGTGTGACGGTCTACTCACCCAATGTAGCCATCTCCCAAAGAACAACACCGAAAGACCAACTATAGAGAAAAGCACAAAGGCCATAAATATATCCACTGCATAAACACTATAAATTTTTCTTCTCTTCTTTTTACTTGATGAACTTAAGGGGAAAAGGGCGTGCCTCCACTTTTTCGTGCCTTCGCGCGTGACTGAATCCTATGACACCAGGGGCCCGTTTCTCGAAAGTCCCGATAATTAACGGGCCCGTAAAGCTGTTGTTGTTTACATGCAAGGTAGTAGCTTCAATAGTTTTTCATCTAGCATGATAAAACTATCAGTTAATGAAACACAATGGAGTAGTTTTCTAGCCAGAACCCGCGCTCTTCTTCTTTTCGATTTGAAAATTTGATTTCGGGCCCGAAAAGTTACCGGGACTTTCGAGAAACGGCCCCCAGGCCTCAGCCGCTCAAAGCCCTTAGTAAATGGCCTAACAAGGTTAATAGAGTAGGGAAATCAATACCAATTTACGTTACGCGTCTGTCGCATATTCGTAAACTTTTCCTGGCAAAGAAAAGCTTCTAAGTGATCTTTACATACACTCTGATTTAAAAATTCAACCGACCCCGCTCTCGCTATTGAATGTGAAAACTATATATAGTCCTGAGTCAAAATTGCGCTGACAAGTACGAAATTACCCACTATATTAACCACTGGAATTCTAGATCGGTTTGAATTCAACTCACTGATCACGATTTTTAGGGTAGCTGAGGTTTTCTGAGCAGCAATGTATCGAAATGTATTTAAAAGAGTGGGAATCTTTTTCACGTACACATCACTTTTGGTAGTGTAAAGGCCTTGATAGAGTGATTCTGGGGCCATCCATTTCACAGGAAGTTTTTTGGACTTCGCTGAGCTGCTCACATCTTCATAGATTTGTCTCATCAACCCAAAGTCTGACACTTTGATTTGGTTGTCATGGCCAACAAGAACATTACGGGCAGCAAGGTCTCTGTGGACAAGATTGTTTCGGCGAGATGATTCTAATTTTAAGAAGGAAGGGGAAAAAATGAAAATAAGTACCATAATACTTCAGTTACAGGGCTATTACTGCCTAAAAAGGCATGGGTGAAGGCGAGAAAATTAGGGGCAAACAATTACTAAACTAAATTACTAAACGAAAAATACTAAACTGAACTGATCTGAACGACTGATTCAAGATTATACGAAACATGCCAAATTTGGTTCGATCGACTAAGACAATTTCTCTACTAAACTAATTTGACATTCTAATGAAAAAAATCAAATCACTCTTCATCTAGAAAATTAACCCATTTGTCCTTTATTTCTTGCTTGTGAAATAGTCTGAAACCGATCTTTGAATGATGAAGACAGAAACTGAATCGAAGCAACGTCGCTCAGAAAATAATCATATAGTAATTACCATTCCTTTAGCTATTTGCCAAGCAAATAAAAAGAGTTGTTTGGTTCGAAAGCTCTCCTCCTCGTATTTTTCGTTACTGCTGAGATCCTGGTTTTTTTTTTCCGATTACAGGCGGCATGGCGGGGAAAGGCTTCGCTTGACCTTTTCGTGTTGACGCTTGGCTGCTGAGTAGTTCTTTGTCCGTTACTTTCCACGTCCCATCCTTAGTAAATTTACAAAAAAAATCAGTTATAATGGCCTACCCTAAACAACTCGAAGAAACCGTTTAGATCGACTCAATCGCTAAGGCGCAGCCTTCGCGCAGCCAGAACCCGGCCTTCCGAAAGGCCTGGTCGAGGTTGTACAGCCGCTTTTTAAAAAGACTTGAACGCCCTTGTGGACGGCCATTCTCCGGGCGCTGGGGTTTGCGGTGAGGGTTTCTCATCCAAGAATGGGATTCAATTCAGTTTTTTTGTTTCAGGCCATGTTTGAACCTCTTCAGTGGGTGTCTAATGCTACGCGCATCGGTAGCCAGGTCAGAGAAGAAGACCATCGTCGGGAGGCGCGCGTCGTCCGTTCGAACCACATGTCCAACCCCCCGCAGCTTTGGTTTCACGATGAGTGCCTTAATGCATGGCATGTTGGCTCTGCGCAGCAATTCTGTCTTGGAGAATGTATCTTCCCTGGAGATGCCCGTAACCGCGTGTGCTTGGGGCTCCTGATAATCTTCCAAAGATGGAACGCCTCGTCAAATTTGTTCACAGCGACGAGATTTTCCTAGGCACTCTTAAGGATGTCAGACGGTTTTTTCTTGTTCATGGTTGCAAAGTACATATCTGCACGCCTCTTGCCTTGTCCTTTTGCGAGTTTTTCCACGTTCAGTTTAAAGGCCTCCACAGCAGCTTCTGACTCGAGCTTCTTATACTGGTACGGACTCGGTAAAGTGCCGAACTCACGCTGATAACAGCATCGCTGAACTGAAACAACAACGAAAGCTGTAAGTAACGCTCCAGCTAGCAAGAGCAACGCTGCCGTCTGTGAATTTTTTCCCGCGTTCGCGTAATCTTGTTCGATTTGTAACTTTTGCGCGAGTGAGGCATTGATTAATTTAGCTGCTTTCGTTCCTCCGAGAGCGGCGCAGATGTAATAGTCACGCTGCAAGAGCGCCCAGAAAATCCACATGAACCCAGACAGAGAACTTTGGAATACAATTTCTAAAGTGCTTTGCTGCAAGGCCATCTTGGAAACAAACAACAGCAGTACCATTTTGCTCCTCACTTGTACGGACCTTCGTAATAACAGCATCCACGAACATGGTCCCAAAATCCGCTGTGAAGAAAAATCGTCGCCATAAACAAAAACAAAGCAGGAATGATGAAGAAACAGCTGGCGTCGAAAACAAAGTTGTCTGGAGGACACTGAAAGAAATCTTCACTCTGTACGACGGCATTCAGGCCAAACACCAGCAAGGCGACAGTTGTGTTTCTTATGGAATCTGAGTGGTTTTGGAAGGCCGATTTCTCATTGGTTACCAGCGAACTAAGCGTGAGCGCCATCTTCTATTTAGGCGAGACTAATTTATTCAAGTTCGTCTAATGGTTCGTGTGTCTCAGATTTATTGTCTGATCTCGCATATCACGAAACCAACAATAAAAACCACGGAACGAGGAAGAGTTTCAATTTTTGACGATAAAAGTCAAGAATAGAAAAATATGGGTATAATTCTTCGTCCCTGACTTTATCGTTTTTAATCATATGAGCGAATTAGCTCAAAATGGAAAACAAAAAATCATTTAAAGAAATAATTTGGTTTTTCAATACCCATTGTTCGAATGATCACGCTTGACAGTTACTAAGGACTCGAAGTGTGTATTAACTTTTGAGACCATGAACTCTTTAAATAGCAACGATCCTAGGTTACCGACAGTTTGGGATCGGTTCTGTGATCCAAAGATTTCGATTACTATTTTCTTACAAGTTACTTACAAATAGTAAGCTGCCACTTAGTGAACCGCAATGTGCGGGAAGTTGCATTTGTAAACTCTAAAAGTTTTTTTTATTTTTATTTGTCGAGGAAGGGGCGATGATATTAGCGTTACTTATCAAAGATTGTCACACAGACGAGGAAAGAAGAGTTGTGGTTTGTCGACAACAAAATTGACGCTTGTGTTATCGACGAAAACACTCTTTTTTTAGAATGTTATTTTCCGACCCACGGACTGAATATTCTTCATATACCAAGCCCCAAGGTTTCTGTTTGAGCTTTCTCGCCAGAAAAATACTTTTAATTCTTTCACTTACAATTTACGTCTCTTTCATCTTTAAATAACATTTTTCATAATATATTGCATGTCTGTATGTATACCGTCATGTTTTTTTTTTCTGGCAAATAAATGAGTAAAAATTCTTACTTTTCTGCCGATCTGAGGCGGACAAAATTCTTCTCTTATCCTAAAATTATAGCTTTTTTCCATTTAGAATGTATTGGGGTATCAATCATATTTAGTACAGGTTTTCTCCTTTTGTTGGCTAGTTTTGCCGTTTAGAGAAAGGAATAAGTTATTAACACCCAACGATGGTTTCCTTTTTAGGCTATCCAGAGTACTTTTTAGATATCTAGAAATGCATTCTAAACGGCGCGTAAAATTTGTATCTGTTTCGTCATCCTTGGGGAACTTGTGTCTCTTCGAAATTACAAAGGCTTGAGTATTATTTTTCCGAAATTTTAGATGAAACTTGACGTATTACGAAAGTGAGAAATTTTCTGATTCCTCTCGCCACCACATTTTTGAAACCGAAAAGTTTAGGTTCCTTTTTTCCACGAAAAACAGTCTAACTTGGAAAGTAAAATGTGAAAAATAAAATTTCAGAAAACCGTGGAGAATTGTACGTGAATGGAACGGTCATCTATAAATTTTTAGCCGCGCGTCCTCAAGGAATAGAAAATTATAGACAAATTTTAGAGGAAATGTAAGGGCTTTCTTTCCCCAGAGACAAAGAAAACCGTCTGTAATAATGATGGTGTCCGTATTAAGAAAGTGTCCGCAAAGCGGATTTCGACTGTACATGGGAGCGTAAATCCACGGATTGACACAGGTTTTAGTGCAGAATCAGAGGGATGTAGCATAAGCTTGTTTCTCTGAAAATATTTCGATAAAAAAACTGCAGAACCATGAACGTGTTATAATTTCATAACTAAACTTATATCAGTTACATGTAACAATACTATTGCTAATTATGTCATATTGTGATTCAAGAATAACTAGTATTCATTTTTGCTAAAAATATATAAATTTCATAATTTTTATCATTTACTGAGACAATTGTCGATGTGTTTGTTGATATCAGAATTTTTCAATCCGCTCGCAAATTTCTCCCCACAAACAGGGCAGAGAATTTCCTTCTCCATTTGGTCCTTAGGATCTTTGTCACTCCTTTTCCCAAACGAAGACAAAATGCTCGATTGCTTCTGTCGCTTAATCGCCCTTGACGACGCTTCAGAACTGGTTGGTTTCAAAGAGTTCTTTCCTTGAAGGTTCTCTTTCGAAAGGGGTTCCGAAAGGTGGCGCACAAGACCATTACACTTAGCAGCACCTTTGAAAGGTCCTTTATTTTCCGGGAGCTCTTCCTTTTCCCGTCCCTTCGATTTAAAGTATATTGATTTGACTTCCTTCTTACTTACTTTGGTCGTTGCTTGTTTGTCATCCGTGCTGTTTTTGGCGTTGTTCTCGATTTCTTGATTTTCGATCTCATTGCAGTCATTTTCCCCGCTCTTTTCCTTAACATCCTGATGTTCTGATGCACTTTTATTACTCTCAGGTGATCGTTCAACAGTTTTCGGTTTAAAGAAATTCTTTATAGTTACAGGAGGAGTAGTAGCCTTAGTTAACGTCCTTTGGTTGATGGGAGTTGCCGCTTCCTCAAACGCTCGGCTGGCTTTTGATGGCTGTCTAAAAGAAGGTTCTGTTGAACTCAAAACACCATTTTGTTTGTCCTAGAAATAAAAGAAAAAAAACAACAACAAAAAAAGTTGAAGCCTGGAAGCAGTAGCAAAGCACGATAAAAGCTTCAACCAGACACTCGCTAACGTCCCCAGAAACGGGGGCAATGAGAGAAGGCTGAACTCGCAGGTTATTAATAATTTGAAATAAATATCACATAAGTAACAAGATCATGCTGCGATGTTAAAATAAAACTTATTCTCTGTTGTGTACTACGAAAACCCAGTATCCACAGACAAATAAAATCTCCAGACTTTTTCTTCACGTATGTCTTTACAAATTAGAACAGAGAATTTGGTAAAAGATCAACTTTTGGTTACATTTTATTAATTCTCATAACCTTTTCTCTTGGTTACGTATTGATATTATGGATCATTACTCGCTTCTGGGAAACTGCCCACCTACCCCTCCCCTAAGCCAACATTTTGCCCTAAGTGAGAAGTACACAGTCACGTATTTCTCGATGTTATTTTTGATGTTTACATTCACGTGGATAACAGAGAAAGAGCTACAGCCGAATT